ATCACAGACTTTATCATGTGTCCCTTACACAGTTCTTACATTCAGGATTCCAGAGAAGAACTGAAATAGAAATTCCCTGTTCAACTTCAAGCAGCGACTAACATATATAAATATCTCACATTTGAGATCCTCCTCAAATAGATTCCAAAAACTTCACCTTTGAATGGTGTCTGTTTCATCAATCAAATATTATATTCGGGATTTTTTTAATTATCGAAAAACAATGGGAAACTGATGATTGTTGGGGTGATGAATTTCATGATCTTCAGCTGAAATAATGGTATATTGATGCCATTCCTAACGGTCTCCTTTTTTCCTTTCAGAGAAACTAGAATTGAAAGACAATAAGATCAACAAAAGCAACAGTAGGGAATCCACAGGGGCTGAACGCAGAAAATAGAAGATTCAGTCGTTGAACCATCTATTCATCAGAAACTAGGAAAGGCAATTGCAGTAGTGCATGATGAAGAACAGGAGCTGGATATTAAGCTGAAACAGGTCAGAATCTAGATGATTGATTGATCGAGGAGACAAATGCGAGGCCCAAACCTGGTTGTGATTTATGATGCGGAACAATGTGGAGCGTTCGACAAAGTGTAGGAACAACAAAGAATCATAGAACAAAGTAAGAGAAGGTAAAATGTAGGATTCAGACAAAAATTGTGCTAACAAGAAAAGCAGAGGAATTTGTTTCTTGCGCCAATGGACATAAGTTTTGTCAGGAATTCGTACACGAAGAAAAGGAAATTGCCATATTTGTTAAAGGTCTTCTCCATCTCTCTTTCACATATGCCTTGGTGTTTCTGTTCCTATCAGGAGCCTTCACCAAATATGGCAACTTCAACAAAATTGAAAATGACCTGTTTCCTTCTCTTTTTATACGCCATTAGCCTTTGTTCTTTCCCCCTTTCCTGTCTCTGTTTTGGTTTTGGTGCGAGTACTTCGATAAATTATTTTATTTGTTATATAATTTTAAAATTAAAGAAAATGGCTTTTTTCAGAAAAATTATCCATTAGTCGTAGATACATAAATTAAAATACAAAGGTCTTAAAAATTTCATATTTATAAAAAATGCATATTAATAAATAAAACTGGTGTTTTTATAAGTTAAATTTAACAATTTTCATCAGCGTATTTATAAGTTAAATTAGTAAAAATATTGAATTATTTTTTATGGCTCCAATATTCAATTTTTTTCCACTTATGAACAATTATTTTTTAAACATGAGATGGAAGGGACAATTAAAAACTTTTTAGATAGGAAAAATTGCACCCCACCTAAGGGAATTAAATAAAAAAAATCCCTTAAAATGATTAAAGTATTCTGAAATCTTAAGGGAGCTCATTACAAGATATTTCATTTGTTTAATTACCAAATTGTCCTTATTTTTTTTTAAAGTATACATTGACAATTAAAAGTGTAGTAGTTAACAACTTAAAGTGTAAGAATTAATAACTATCGTGACAGATATTAACAATTCATGCATTAGATTTTTGTAATGTGTTGAGAAAATGTGTTGTTAATATTTGTCACAATAGTTGTGAATCGTTACACCTTAAAGGCATGTTTGGATTGCCGTTAGAAACTATAAAATGTCTTAGAATTTGTGAAACTGAGTTACAAACTGAGTTGAATAAAAATTGTTTTTTGGTTGGGCTACCTTTTTCAACCAACTTCTGTGGCTTTCAACCTTAGTAGACTCAACAGAGAAAAATATGACTTTTAAAACTGCAGTTTTAAACGGTGATTATTAAAAATGAGTATCCCAGATTTATCCTCACATTTTTCCCTCTGCCTCATCTCTTTCGTTAGTATAATGAGCTTTTATTCAAACCAAATAAATTTTAATTTATATTCATGTTTGTCTATTATGTATATTTGATTAATTATCTACAATGTGTTTTCAAATTTTTCTTCGTAACAAATATTTTTATTTTAATTTTGCAAATAAACTATTTATATTTTATCATAATAATTTTACATATTTTTTTAAACTATTCACATTAAAAATATAAAATTTCAAATACTACAATTCAATAAAGTCCATACCTTTTTTTAGTCATTTTACAACTAAACTAACTTTTATATTAATCATCTAAATAACTTTCAATTTTTTCAACCGACTTTTTAAAAATATTATCCAAACATACCCTAACTGACTTTTACTCTAACTTCAGTTACAAAGTCAGTTGAGCTAGAAGTCATTTTACCCAACACTAATCCAAACATACCCTAAGTTTGTTAATAACTACTTTTTCAGTTATCAAGGCATATTTAAAAAATAAAACAATTTGATAATCAAACAAATAAAATCTCTTACAATAAGGTCTTTTAGGATTTCAGAATATTTGATGATTTTAAAAAATGTTTTATATTTAATTTTCTTGGATGTGACTTTATTGTAATTTTTTTCTTTTAGGATAAGCATAAGCAAGACATTATCTTTATTTTAAGGGAAAAAAATCTACATCTAATGCATATATTTATGGAGCTCGTAAGTTAATGAGGGCTGCACATAGGCAGGGTTAGGCAGGACAAGCCCCTTGCTTGATGCCCAGTCCCGAAAATTAGCGGGTTGCATTTTACAGCCCGCTCCTAGTAGAAGCCCTAACCATTTTGAGCAGGATAAGGCGGGTTGGATAGAGCGGGCTTTTCTGCCCACTTAATACACCATGCTCTATATCATATGTAGAAAAAAAATTCAATTATTGTGTTTTGAGACAAGGAGAGGAAAAAATTATCACGAATGAGTCTATCACTCATATATATATATATATATATATATATAAGGCTTATGTAGTCTTTTCTTTCGTTTTTCGATTCTTATGGGAGGTAAAAAATATTTAATATTAGAATATTTAATAATTAAGCTAAATCAGTAGTTCAATTCCTAGTTTATTCATATAGTTAGTGGATTATTATAATCATGTGAAAGCACAAAATTTGAAAGGTGGTTTTATTTTTCTTTTTGGGTTAAGGTTCTTAATTGCCCCGGAAGTTTTCCTCGAGGAGCACTCAGCAACCAGAAGTTTTTGTTTGTTCTTAAATATCCCGGAATTAATTTACGTAGCAATTATGCCCTGAGTTAACGTTCAGGCAAACGACGTCTGTAAATGACACGGTGTCGAGAAGGTGGACAACACGTTGGTGAATGGGATGGTGACGTGGCACTGTTGTGTTGACAAAATAAAAGTTGATGCCGAAGGTCATGTTGTCATCGAAGGTCGCTTTTGTCGTCGACAATGAGAGCTAGGGCAAAGCAAAGCAGGTGGGGCGCATGTAAAGTCTGAGAAGAGACAGAGCCAGAGAAAACCAAAGATCAGTTCTCAAATTGTATTCAAGAAGACCAGTTCTCAAATACGTATTCGAGAAGACCATTTCTCTAATATATATTCAAAATATATTCAAGAATATCTTCAAGAATTAGTTGAAAATAAGCTTTGAGTTAGAATGGTGTTTACTAAAGGATTGTGTGATGTGCGACAGTAAAAGACACAAAGGATACGTGGGATGTGCGACAGTAGAAGACACAAAGCTTTTATATTGATTAATATTGATTAGTCGACAAGGGTATTTATCAATTAACAAATCGATAAATAGGACTTGAATTGTTTGATAAATGAATTTATCGATAAGCTACTCGATTTGTTAATCGATAAATACCTTGTCGACTAATCAATATTAATCAATATAATACTTTGTGTCTTCTACTGTCGCACATCCCACGTATCCTTTGTGTCTTTTACTGTCGCACATCACACACATCCTTTATAACACCATTCTAACTCAAAGCTTATTTTCAACTATATTCTTGAATATATATTTAGAGAAATGATCTTTTCGAATACGTATTGAGAACTGGTCTTCTTGAATACATATTTGAGAACTGATCTTTGGTCTTCTCTGCTCTGTCCTCTTCTCAGACTTCACATGCGCCCCACCTCGCTTTGCTTTGCCCTAGCTCTCACTGTCGACGACAAAGCGACCTTCGATGACAATATGGCCTTCGGCATCAATTTTATTTTGTCGACACAACAGTGCCATTCATCATCTCATTCACCAAGTGTCGTCCATCTTCTCGACACCGTGTCATTACAGACGTCCGTTTGCCTGAACGTTAACTCGGGACATATTACTACGATAAATTACTTCCGGGATATTTAAGAACAAACAAAAACTTCCGGGTGCTGAGGCTCATCGGGGAAAACTTCCGGGGCAATTAAGAACCTTAACCCTTTTCTTTTTTTTATTTGAAAAAATTGGATGTAACAAAAAAAGAAGGAAATTTGATTGGAGTAATTTAGCATATTGAATCTTATATTTTGATATTTGGCTCTCTTATATAATTATAATTTTATGTTCTTTTCATTTTTTCTAATTTTACCTAATTTTTTACCCAAAATAAAAGAGATAATTGCTTAAAAAAATAATATTATATATATATAATTATATATTTTTTCGGGCAGTGCAGCGTATCCTGCTCGTAGCCCTGCCCTGCTTGTGAATCAGCCTGAACCAAAAATGGCTATTTTTGTTTGGGTAGCTTTTTATTAGGCTGGGTTGGACGCTTTCTTGTGGGCTCGGGCGGACTTACTGGGTATGCGGGCCTCATGCACACTCCTAAGTTAATCAGCACCATTTTTGCATTTCTTTCTAATTTATAAATTCATATTAATTTGCTTTTAAACTTATACTAACCACAAACTTAGTCGACTGAGAAACTCGTGATCTTTTACTCACTTAAATGATCATTTTTATTTTTAATTATTTAATCAAGTGATAAAAATAAATTCTTGCAAGTTTATGACCCTTTCACAGTTTACATGATGGCCCTGCATTTTTTGAACCCGTCATAGTACGTCTCATGGTGATTTGCTCATTAATGCCCTTTCAGTAAGATTAAAGCTCTAATTCTAATGGAAAACTGAATTACTTATTTTTAATTCTAATGGTAGTCTTAATTTTCGATTGTCATTGATGTTACTTTGTCCCTGTCGGGCCAGGCTGAACTCCGCTGCCGGGAGCTTGAACTGCGCTTCTCTATATTCGCGCAAATATTGGATCCTCTCAGCCTCATATCTTCCTCATTCCAGAGCGAAACAGTATCTTATTCCAATGGATCCACGCCTGGTCGAAAACAAAGAATCCTCAGTTTTGACTGGTCATCTATCTCCCCATTCCTACCCTCAGCACGGTCCTAGCGAGGTTCGCTTCGATGGAACTGATAATCACTCGGCCATAAATGTCAACTGCTACTTGTACTCGTCTTGTTCTTCTGACGACGACAACGATGATGGTCCTCACTCTCTTCCTCCCTCCAATTCCATCAAATCCACCAATAAACGACTGGACTATATGCTTCAATTTCTTGATCGCAAGCTTTCTTCCGGTCATCACAACCAGCATTCAGGCCAGGGGAACCATTCCCGCCCTGGGTTGCCTGAGTTTGTTGCCAAAGGTGGAGGGAATGGTATCTTCAAAGTTCCTGTGCGAGCGGCAGTCCACCCCTTGCGGCCTCCCAGTCTTGAATTGAGGCCGCATCCCCTGCGGGAAACTCAGATTGGGCGTTTCTTGAGGGCTATTGCAAGCACCGAGTCCCAACTGTGGGCTGCCAGCGAGTGTGGGGTCAGGGTCTGGGATTTCAAGGATCTCTGTGCAGCCTGGTGTGGCGTTGAAGAAACAATCATGAGAGGCGACGAAGACACGGCTCCTTTTTCAGAGTCCGTAAGGACTTCACCTGCACTGTGTTTGGTTTCGGATGAAGGAAACAGATTGGTATGGAGCGGACATAAAGATGGCAAGATTCGATGTTGGCATATGAATCAGGATTTAGATGAGAACCAGAGCGGGAGGACTCGATTTCATGAAAGATTGTCCTGGCAGGCTCACCGCGGCCCCGTTCTTTCACTTACTATTACGTCTTATGGTGATTTGCTCATATTTATTTTACTGCTTTTTTAACCTTTTCCCTGGTTTCATTTTGAGTTTATTTTTAAAATAATTGCATAAACCTGAAGTGGGCTTCTCCTGACATACGAAAATAGGGATGAATTGTAAATAGAGGGGGGATAAAAACTTGTCATAAGTGGCACGGAACAGCTGAAAATAATATCTGAATTACCATAGGTAAACCAAATTTGTTAAAACACAATTTTGTGTGTGCACCTTGCTAAACACAGACATGGGTGCAAGAGGTATTCATCTTTGGATAATGAAATAAAGTTACTACCTATGCAATACGTCAAATAAAAGCCATAAACAGAGCAATGGCAATCTGGAAATTTAGTGTTGATGGCTATGCTACTATTGTTAATAAAATCCAATGAGTTGGTCGTGGAATCAGTTTGCTTATCTAATGCTTGTAGTATATTGATCTTTCTTCTTCACCTCAATTTTTACTGCATTCCTCTTTATTGGCTTGATCCAGGGGATTTGTGGTCGGGTTCAGAAGGAGGAGCTATAAAGATATGGCCTTGGGAGGCCGTTGAAAAATCTATTTCCCTTACAACAGAAGAAAGACATACAGCTGCCTTATTGGTGGAGAGGTCCTATGTTGACTTGAGGAACCAATTGTCAGCAAACGGTTTCCATAACATGCTAACTTCAGATATAAAGTACTTAGTATCTGATAATTCAAGAGCAAAGGTGTGGAGCGCTGGGTTTTTTTCATTTGCTTTGTGGTATGAATAAAATTTACAGGCCTAGTCTCTTTTAGTATTGGTATTATGCTTGACACTTTGTATTTAAGATTTTTTAGAGGCTAGTAATAAATCTTCTTTCTTTTTCTTTCTTCTTCATTTAAGCTGGGGACATAGAGTATCTTTTGTAGAACATATTATCGAATTATTTTATTTTTTAACTACAAAATAATTTATAAATAATTCACCTGAGTATAAGATATTTCCTTTCTAATAAGGACGTGGAATTTAAAAGGCTGATCTTTAATATTTTTGGAGTGAAATAAGTTTTACATGGTTAGCAGCATCTATGACCAACTGTTAAAAATTTGATCTCTGGCGCCCACAATTTCGTAATTAAATTAAATTTCTGCCCAATATATGGTGGTTTTTAACTTTATCCGCACTTAAAAGTCCAAAAGATTTCCGTGTGAGGAGGCATGAGTCTCTGGCAAAGATGGCACTGTATTTGTAGAATTTATGGCCAATAGAATGAGATAATGATGGACGCAATTTGGTGCAGACGTATTCTTGAAGGAATGAGAATAGTGAGGTGGGTTCGGTAGGGGAAAAGTAGAGAGTATAGGCTGGGTGGCTATTCTCTGTAGGAATTTTGTGACTTAAGGAGATAGAATGGATGGATTTGTTTAGGAGAATTATATGGGAGATTGGCGTGAGTGTCATAGGCAGATCTTAGACTTGGTGTGGAGATACTAGCCTCTGAAAGCCAGACCTCTTCTTCCTCCAGATTTTCCCTCTCTACCACCGCTGTCCATCTCTGCTTCTGTTCCTCTGTGGCAGTGTCTTATGTGCCATCATTTTATGGATATTCTCTCCTTGATAACTTATTAGATTTGTCATCATGTGTCTGAGAGTGTGTGTGTGTGTGTGTATCTTATGCCAGTGGTTGTTACTTTACAGGGATGCCCGTACAAGAGAGATACTTAAAGTATTCAATACTTATGGCCAAATCGAAAATCGGGTGGACATTTCATCAATACAAGACTTTTCAGTTGAGCTTGTTTCAGGTTCTCGGAAAGACAAAGCACAAAGTTCTATTGGGTTCTTTCAGCGTTCACGCAATGCCATAATGGGGGCAGCAGATGCTGTTCGTCGAGCTGCTGCAAAGGGTGGTTTTGGTGATGAGAACCGAAGAACTGAAGCAATATTGGTAACCATTGACGGAATGATTTGGACAGGGTGTTCAAGTGGCTTACTGTTGCAATGGGATGGAAATGGCAATTGCATACAGGATTTCCAACACCATTCATCAGCTGTTCAATGCTTTTGTACTTTTGGGACACGTATTTGGGTAGGTTATGTGACTGGTATTGTCCAGGTGTTGGACCTCAAAGGTAATTTGATAGGGGGTTGGGTAGCTCATAGCAGTCCAATTGTAAAAATGACTGTTGGAGCTGGTTTTGTTTTCACACTTGCTAATCATGGTGGCATTCGCGGATGGAACGTCACTTCTCCAGGACCCCTTGATAGCATTTTGCGTGCAGAATTAGGTGGCAAAGAGTTTTTGTATACAAAAATAGAAAACCTAAAAATCTTGACTGGCACTTGGAATGTCGGCCAAGGAAAAGCATCTCAGGATTCGCTTACTTCATGGCTTGGATCTGTAGCTTCGGATGCTGGAATTGTTGTTGTTGGGTTGCAAGAGGTTGAAATGGGTGCTGGATTTCTTGCAATGTCTGCAGCAAAAGAAACGGTAGTCATCATCCTTGTTTCATGCTAGAAGATTATAGATCTTTGTTATCAACAAACGCCAACTTTTTTGTTAGTAAGCAAAATAATGCTATATCAGACCATGATTAAAATAATAATAATAATGCTATACAACTATTTTTTGGATTAATGATGTTTGTTAATTGTTGTCTTGCCATAAGATCCAACTTTGAATGCTGTCAGTGTAGCTTTTGAAGTCCATGGTTTCATCCGCTCCTTCTCATCATTTATAGCCTGCTATAGCTCCTTGCTGCAGCCTTTAACCATCTGCAACATGCCTTTGTTCTTTGCTATAAGTGTAGGGGTAGCATAGCAACCTTTTGTATTTCAGCTATAGCAAGTGCTACATGCACTGTAGCAACTTGTCTCAAGTGCTTGTTATTTTGCTATATGGGAAAGGGATAATTTTCAATTGCAATGCCCTTCGCCTCTGTCCAATAATTAATGTTGGCACGCTCACTTTAGAGGCAATTTTCAACAGCAGAGGTGAGTGGCAGTCATGTTCCCCACTTCACCTGGCCCTTCTCCTAAATTTTTGTTGTGATCCCCCCCAAACTATGACCAAATGGCGTGGGATTTTATACTCCTAATAGGATTCTATATACATTTTATTACAAGAGATGATGCGTAGAATTCTAATCCTTTTTAATATTCACATGTTTGTGTCCCTTTCTTTTTTCCATTTGCTTCCGCTTATTTCCCAGATTTCTCTTTTTGTCAGTTTTGATGGTAGATAGTACGAGTTATGTTTTAGATGCTAGTTTCTGATTTGTGGGTGTCAGATTCTCCATGTATGTACTAACATGGTGTGGCAAAATAATGTGAAGTTTCAGATATACTTTTCTACCTTTCTGCTTCTGATTACTTCACACAAAAACCTTCCAAGTTGCCTGTATTTTTCTACAATGTTAGAATTATAGAGTTGATAGGTGCCTCATGTTGTTGTGTCTTTCGGGAGTCTGGCTGTTGACATTTGGGCAAAAGTAGGACAAATATGCTTTTGGTATTTGTTCAATGGAAATGGAAATTTGACCTGTGGTTTGAGTGTTCATATGTCATTATATCATCTTGTTTGTGTGCGTGCTTGTATTATGATTACAGCTCTGCTATTTTTGGTGAAATATATATGTGATGATTATAGCTATTAGTCTGCCTAACTCTTCATTGATCTACCCTCCCCTAACCGCACCTTGGGAATATATATAGGTAGGACTCGAGGGAAGTTCTGTTGGGCAGTGGTGGCTAGATATGATAGACAAAACACTGGATGAAGGTTCAACTTTTGAACGTGTTGGTTCCAGGCAACTTGCTGGCTTGGTCGTTGCTGTATGGTGAGAATCTAATTCAAATGGGCTGGGAAAGCCTTTAACGTTTCACCAAATTATGCCTACATTTTTGCCTGAGTTGTCTTATTAGATGATTGTACTTATCTTCCCTTGTTATAGATGATAGATGATATTTATGTTGGGAATACATTGACATTAACCTATAAGGGTTGAGCTCCTAATTGTGTTCTGAAACGAAACATAAACCATAAACCAATGTCCTTCTTTGAAGCAATGCTTTCATTCAATTTGAATATATGTTTTCATTTTGTTTCTATCATATATTTTCTATGGTATCTTTCCTTGTTGATTTCATCACATGTAGTAGTTGAACTCAAACTTATATTCTGTAGGGTCAGAAATAATATTAAATTTCATGTTGGGGATGTTGATGCGGCAGCTGTTCCTTGTGGCTTCGGACGCACTATCGGCAATAAGGTATGCTTGCTCTGCTATTTTATTTGTATGATAGTTAGGATTTACTCTCTCTCTCTCTATATATATATATGCACATATATATGTTCTTTTGTAAATAAATGACTAAGATCTGGCAGTTTTGCTATTATTTTCTTTTTTAAATTCCTAATGCAGATCCTGAAGCGCATGATTTCAGCCTTGTTTACTTGTGACATTTCAATATGGATGATTAAAGCATGAGAATTTTTGTTAGGTTTTCCATGATATGGTATAGTTTTAATCTTATACGTAAGGAAATGTAATGGAGTTTATGTTGAAGGTTAAAAAGTTATCGACATCAGGAATATGTGATCTAATTATTGAAACCCATTGTCTCTAATCATTACTGCCGAGAGAGATAACCTATTCAATGTCAGGTGCAGACTTTGGATTGAAGTCATGCAATTGATTTTTAGTGATATTAATATCAAATAGCGTATGCAGATCTGCTCTCAGATGTCAAAGTATTAGTGTATTGTTATTAATCTAAAAGGAACAGTACTAAAATTCAAGTTATACCTTTACCAAAACTTCGTAGTATTTGAGGGAAAGATTATCCAAATATGTGTCTGAAAGTCAATTAAATTAATAATTATTAGGGAAAAAAGCCTTGGATACAGTTCAACATCATGCATTACTTTGACTTTATTGTAGGAGAGAATTATGCTTACTGACTGAAATGACAAGTTAGCTACATGCGAGAACCTTAAATTTCTAAAATTATTTTGCAAGATCAAGGTTCTTCTCTGAAAAGTTAATAAATAAATAAGTGCGTGTGTGATGAATGAAAGGTGCATGAGACAAATAAGTTACCTTGTTTAATAATCAAACATAGGAAATTTAGTACTCTGAAAGTTCCTTATATTTTAGTTTTAAATTCCCTATGCGTGATTGCTAAACAAGGTAAATTATTTGTCTCGTGGATATTTTTTTTCAACACTTTTTTTTCTCTCCAGAGAAGGACCTTGATCCTTCAGAATAATTGCAGAAGTTTAAGGTCTTTATATCTAAACAACTTGTCATTTTGGTTCTTTAGCATAACTTCCCCTCATTATAATTTTATAAACTTCGAGATTGTATTAAGAAACTATATTATTATTTTTGTTGATTATATACCATATAAATTATTATCCATTTTTTCGTTGTTATGAGATTTTCTATTTATTAGTGGATGGGGTTCCTGTATCTCATACCCTCCCCCACACCCATGCAACACAGGATAGAAAATAGTATGCTGCAATTGTACTTAACTGTCTTCTAAGTTGATGTGTTCCAAATGCTGAAAGTTCCTTTCCAGCATCATGCTATGGTCTGTATATACATTGCAAGCAAATCAACATATGCGTTGGTTCATTGAAAACAATAATTTCTGTTTTAACATATCCATTTGTGTGAATTTACTTTATACCTTTTGCATTGACATGGGAAATGTGTGTCTTACCAGGGAGCTGTTGGTTTGAGAATTAGAGTGTATGATCGGGTGATGTGCTTTGTTAGTTGTCATTTTGCTGCACATTTGGATGCAGTTAGTCGTCGTAATGCAGACTTTGACCATGTATACCGAACAATGTCTTTCTCTCGGTCAACAAACCTCATAAATGCTGCGGCTGGTACCTTACTGTGCCTTTACTTTTCTGCTTGTGGACCATCATATACATATTTTGGTCTGTTTATGAAAATGGCTTGCATTGGTCCTTTTTGTTGCAGCTGGAACTTCATCTGCTGTTCCAATGTGTCGTGGGACAAACGTATGTAAACACTATTCACTCTATTTTTTTTCAAGTTATTCATCGTGCTTGACATATGTAGCACAGATGCTTAAAAAAGTCAATTTACCTGTGTCAGATTCGTATCCAGTATGATGCACATGCTATATTTTTAAACTTATTTTTTTGATCTCCCCCCCCCCTAAAATGTTCCAAAATAATTTAAAACTGTCTTGTCATTAATACCTCTATGCTACTCTTGAAATACTTATTTAAAACTCAAATATGTTTATCTTGTTCATGTTTTATAAGTTTATTTGTTAAATATGTGCATAATTATGTATGTATATCTCCCTCACCTGTATCCATATCCTAAAATTTTATAATTTGTTGTGTCCAACGTATCGCATTGTATACTCGATGCACATACCCATATCTGTGCATCATAGTTGACAGCACAATTGGATGAAGAATTAATTCTTGGTATGTGTTTCAGTCACCAGAGGGGATGCCTGATTTATCTGAGGCAGACATGGTTGTATTTCTTGGTGATTTTAATTATCGTCTTGATGGCATTTCTTATGATGAAGCAAGAGATTTTGTTTCTCAAAGATGCTTTGACTGGCTTAGAGAAAGGGATCAGCTTCGAGCAGAAATGGAAGCTGGGAATGTATTCCAAGGAATGCGTGAAGCAATTATTACGTTTCCTCCTACGTACAAGTTTGAACGGCATCAAGTTGGCTTAGCAGGTTGGGTTTTCTGTAAAATTTATTGGATTAACTTCTTGTTTTAGGCTTGAAAGAGAAACCACTGACTGTGAAAGATTTGCTAATAAATACTAGCTAACGTTTGTGTGAATTTCTTTTCATTGAAGTTAACTAAGCAAATCTCTTAGTTGTGGTTTGATATGGTTGCAAGCTCTTTTCAATGTTTTATCTTTTTTATTTGTGGTTTGACATGCTGGCAAGCTCTTCATACTTTTGCTACAATTTAGATCAAAAGGTGAATTGTTCTCATGGGTACGCAAGTCAAATGGAAACTGTCCCCCAAAATCTAGCTATTAAGATGGGTAAATATTGATCGGGACTTGGGTAGTAGGAAGGCCTAAACCCTTCCTCGAGTAGCATGGGATGCTCTGAGGGGTATGTAAGCGGCTTAGTTTTCTCATCTCAATATCTAGCTTTTTAAGGAGATTTCTTCATCCCACTCGAGTACTCATCAATATCAAAGTTGATGGTTGACACTTCTGAGTAAAGTGTCACGGAGTGAAATGCTATCACGATGACATCCCCTCTCCAAAAGGGAAAATCTCTAGAGTTGTATGGAATATTTTATTAGGTATCTGATGGATACTTAAGTGGAATCGGAAATTTTCCTTCAAAAGCTAGCTATAAGCCTATATGAAATTGTTGACTGCCAGCTGTATTACCTATTGATGTATACTTACTCAAGTGCGATGAGAAACCCTTAATCAAGAACTAGCTCTTAAGAAACGAGAATCTACTGTCAGCATACTTAAATACGGGAAGCATCCCATACTACCTAACAATCTGTCTCCTCAGAAGTTAGAAGCAGTGCCGTTTGAGTTCTCTGTCATCTGTGTTGCTTTAAAACCTTCTTGGGCACATGACCTCAATCTGTGTGAATTGTTTCTTTTGAAGGGTATGATTCTGGTGAAAAGAAGCGCATCCCTGCCTGGTGTGACAGAATTTTATATCGTGATAGTCGCTCTTCTTTCGTGGCTGACTGCAGTTTAGAGTGTCCTGTTGTCTCTACAGTACTACAGTGAGTTATCTAGTTTAGTTACCCATCTATAATGGTATTTTATGAGATGCAAAGCAAGTAAAAATCAGTTGTCAGACATTACCGTTCTTGTCCCCCCCCCCCCCCCCAAAATAATCAACTAACGATAATTTACTCTCAATAGGTATGAGGCCTGCATGGATGTAACAGATAGTGATCACAAGCCTGTCCGTTGCATATTTACTACAGATATTGCTCGAGTAGATGAATCAATTAGGAGACAAGAGTTTGGAGAGATAATTGGTTCAAATGAGAAAATCAAAGAGTCCCTGAAAGAATTGTGCAAGATACCCGAAACAATCATCAGTACAAACAATATAATCCTTCAAAATCAGGACACGTTGATTCTACGCATTACAAATAAATGTTCAGATGACAATGCTTTATTTGAAATAATTTGCGAAGGTCAGTCTACTGTTACGGAGGACCAGAAAGCATCCAAACGTCAGTTGAGAGGTTCTTTTGGCTTCCCTAGATGGCTCGAGGTGATGATTTTTCTTTCTTTCTTTTCTTCTTTTTAATGCTTTTTTTGGTGCTTTCAACAGAAAATGCAGGCTTTTTCTTGTCACGGTATATATCTTATCTTGGAGAGAATTGAGCTCAAAGATAAAGAAGGATAAATCATTCTCTTTGGCGTTAAGAGGGGCCAAAATCTCATACCTGAACACGGGTGTGTCAAAACAATCTTGTCCCAAAGCAAGCCTAGGGACGAGATGTTTTTCTCTTTAAAAACTTTGGCATTCGACTATAACCAAATATGTAGGCTGCAATGGGCGAGGTCAGGTCGGTCTTCACCCCAACCTGTTGTGATGTCCTGCTTGATGTGCAATTCGGGCCAGCCTAATGCCCAAATGTTAGGGTCGAGCTTTGGCTCAACCTGATACATTTTTAAAAATATTTTAAAAATATGAAAAAAAAAAATTCATCAACAGGAAAATATGATTAAGATAATCTAAAATATATTTCTTATAAAACTAATACTAGGGTCAAAAGTAATATTTTTTAAAATTGTAGATATTTAAAGAATATTCTTTATTTTTTTTACATAATATTAAGTTAAAAATCAATTTGAAATTTTGAAAGAGGTTAAAAAGATTGAAATCACAAAAAATATCCATGATGATCATAAAACATAACATATTGCATGAAAAATATCAAGAAAAATAATAATATCAAACAAGTTTCACTAATAAATTAAGAGTGTGTTCAGGTCGGGCTGGGTAAGACAGGGTTTGCAGCCCAGTGCTCAGACTGAACTGCGTGAATGGCTGGGGCGGGGCGGGCGGGCCATTTGTATCCTACAATACACTAGGTGGCGAAGCACTGTGACCATCTTATTCTAACCGTGCCTGCTGAACTTTCTTTTGATCAGCAAGGCTGCTGAGCTTGAAAGAAAATGCTCATTTTGGGAAAAGTCAAGATTCACTGGGCATGACTAAAAATATCTGCTGGGATAATTAAAATAAGGCTGCACTCATATCTGAATTTGGGAAACACATCACACATGCAGTAGGATTTAGGATAGAATGGTGGTGTTTATAATGGAGGTCCACGTTCACATATATTCAAAATAGTGGGAGGTTTGTATATTTAACCCTGAATTTAAGGGTGGTCAAAGTGTTTTTAAAGGAGATTAAGGCAGCGTAGCACGCCTAAGTTTCACATTGAGTGATATGGAATTCTTTATTGGGTATTTAAGCAGATTGGTTCTCCTCCCTCTGTAGTTAGTTTTTGAGGAAAGATTCCCACGTTACTCAAATACGCATCAATTTTACTTTGAAATGTGGTTTATTCTGGTCAAGCGAGCCTTTGTCAAAGTGTAAGCATGAGAAAAGGCAGCGGCTATGGTGGAATGTAGTTGAAAGTTAAATGCTTGATCCGTGCAATTATACTATGTTAAAGGAGACCTCTGAACTACCATGCAGACACAGTAACACACCAAGCTTGTGAGATTAATCATTTCACCCAACCTATTTTGTATATGGTTTTTGCTTTGGTAGAGTTACTTGCTTTAAAGTGTTCCCCCACACCCCCCCCCCCCAAAAAAAAAGAATGTCAGGTAGAATAAACGTATCCCCTGGAATATTTGGCTTCTTTATCAGTTGTTATTCTTAGAGCAGATTTCTTTGTGTATCTGAATTCGAGACATCTCCCCTAGAAGACTTGGCTTTTTTAACGGTTGTTATCCTTAAGAGTAGATTTCTCTGTGTATAAAATTCGATCCTTTTTTTTTTTTTTTGGGTTATAGCCAAGGCATCTGTTTTTTGTAATTCTCTGCAAGGAAATTTACCCGCCCACTTATGATTCAGGTAACTCCTGCTACTGGCATAATAAAGCCAGATCATATTGTTGAAGTATCAGTGCATCATGAGGAATTTCACACTCAGGAAGAGTTTGTCGATGGTGTTGTACAAAACTCTTGGTGTGAAGACTCCAGAGACAAGGAAGCTATGCTAACTGTCAAGGTTCGTGGCAAATACTCAAGCCAGACTAGAAACCATCGGGTTTGTGTGCACCACTGCTTTTTAGCCAAGAAAAATAAAACGGACTCACAGCCAAAGAGCTCTAGCCATATGCAGGGAAGTGTACTGCACCGAGCTGATTTTCAACATCTTAGTAGTTCCTATGATGTGGTGGAGCGGCTACAGAATTTGCATAGCTCTTCAAGTTCCAATTGACGTGAGTGCTAGTAAAATAAAATCATTGTTTTCAATGGTAGAGGTTTGCTTGGTGCTTTTGCTAGTGTACCATTTAGTGAACGTCGTGATGATAAGTTAAGCTCGCCCAATTGCTGGAATGCTGGTTATATATGATGATGATAACGATTTGTTTTGTTCTCACAGGTTGTGGTCCATGGGCGTATTTAATTAAGTGTACAGAGAAAGCAAATTCATGACACAACGTGACAGTTTCTCAAGATCAATTGTTTCATTTGTTTATACATGACTTCAGTTTTACTTGTATGATATGTGCCTCTAATAAACGAGCAGGTGAGCAGCAACTACCAGACAAAACCCGGTTCGTGCTAATTTTCTAATACTCTCTAGGAAGAATTACCAAAAATTCCTAAGAAAGAAATTTAATCACCAAAAAATTCTAATGACAGTCATTTCTTACTCTGAAATTTGTCATTACTTATTCTTTATTTGTGAATGGACTTTAAGTTAATTAAATCTCTTTTTTATGACCTGCTTGTAATTCTCTCTAATTTCTACTCCTCTTATTTTAAATGTAAGAGCTAGTTACGGTCTTGTTTTTTTGTCCTAAATGTAATGATTTGATTCATGTTATTTCTCATCTTTATTATTTTCTTCAAATTTATCTTATGAAATAATATATAATCTAATGTTATATAGAAGTGTTTCGAGGAGGTCATGTCATATTTATTATTTTTAAGTAATTTATTTAGTTTCTTTAATCTATTCAAAATAGGTAAATAATCTTTACATTAATGACCGAAGGGTGAGTTGAAATTCGTACTCAAGCATCACTAAAAATATACACATGTACAACCTGTAGGTGTTGGTTCTAAGGGAAGAAGTTTTTGCTATTTAAACACGAGTTTTTCAGTATGCTCGTGCGATTGCATGAAAAACGAGAATATTTTTTAGTTAGGCTTGACAATGCTCGCATTAGACCTAATTAGATGGTTGTATTAAAAAAATACTTATATATATTGATTTTTTTAAAAAAAAAGACATTTGTTGTGGACTAGCTTTGAAAAATTGGAAATAATAATTTGAAGAAAAGAAAAACAAGCTTAAAGTTTTTTGTCAAAAGGAAAAAGATTTAGGGCAATGCTCAAATGATCTATCCAATCTTTTGGAAGCATTTTTTTCTTGTTCAAGTTACTTTGTTTTTTTTTTTTTTGCCAATGACATATTGATAAGTTACAATTGATGCTTTGTCTCAACGCGTAGAATAGATTGTTTTATAAGATCAAATTAAAATTCCACATAATGCATTGAATTCACTTTCATAATCAAGCCAAGCTATTCCTCAAGTGGAATGATTAATTATACCATTAAAATTTAAAAGTTTGGTTATGTCCATCCTTTTCAAATTAGGCTGTGATATGGATACTGGATAGACGTATACAGGGATAGACCTCTTAACCTTTTAATAATTACTTTTTTATGGGCTTAGTTGGGAAAATGACTTTCAAACTGTATTCGTTAGCAATTGCAATAATGAATCAATTTAACAAATAATTGCCAGCTTAACTCTTAGTTAAGTGTATTGTTACTGTCATTTGTCAAACAAATCACTCATTGATTTTTCTAATTAAGAAATTGATTGCATTATTATCATTGCATTCAAGACTTCCTGAGAGAGGCGCGCAGCACCATTAACGGACTAAAATATTGAATCATTTTATTCAAAAAAAATTTGATAATGACAAAGTTTAGTTAATTCTAGTATAGAAGTTAAATTTTGCGGATTTTAATTATTTTATTTTATTTTATTATCACTTAAGACTTAAGAGAACTACAAAAAAATATTCATATTTATCCATTATATTATTCGAAAACATTGTAGAAATAGCTAGGGGTGCACATGGGCAGGGCTGGGCAGGGCAGAACCCCTGCCCGATGCCCAGCCCGAAACATGAACGGGCTGCATTTTGCAGCCCGCTGCCCGGCCCTGCCCATAGAAGCCCTAACCATTTTGGGCTGGGCATGGGCGGGCTGGGCAGGGCGGGCTTTGCTGCCCAAATGATGATGACCTACCGATATCACATGTAAAAAAACTTTCATCCATACCTAAAAATTACATTTCATAATTTTATATTTTCACACATTAAAATTATCCAAAAATAATTCAAAACAAGTCTTAGCAAATATCCAAATAAATAATATTCATAATCTATTTAGAACAAAACAACTCTCAAGATTGTAATTAAAGTCTTGAAATTCAAACGGTTTGCATTAATCTCTAGAAAGTTGAGAAAAGAATAAAACATCTGAAAAAATTGAAGAGGGGTTGAAGCACATTGAGATATTCCATTGGGAGCCAGGGATGGCGATGTAATAGAAACTTGATTATCCATTTAAGTGGCAAAAATTAAATGTTACCTAAAAGATTGTAAAAAGATATTAAAACTGAAGTAATGGGCTAATAGGAATAACATAGACCATATAAAAATGAGGTGAAAATAATTGTAAAAAGAAAAATAAAAATAATCTCATAATAATTTAATATAACGACTTTTAATATGTAAATACTTATTATGCGATACAATGCAGCTAGCAGTCCACACAACTAAAAGACTTCTTTTTATCATATGACTTGTTCATAAAAAATTAATACAAAATAACTAAATATAAATCAAATAGAAAACATGTAATTCAGATAATTAAACCCCAATTTTCTTTCCATGCTCCTACCCCAATCTTGTTTTCTATCTTGCATAAATATTCAAAATTGTTTATTTATACAAATATGTAATGTATGAACTCAATTCTCTAACAAAGAAAGTTGTTAATGACATAGAGGGGAAGATTGACTTATAAATAGCCAACACTACAACAGCAACAAACAATAGGATATACACAATAAAACTCACGAATAACAAGTTAAAAGCAAGATACTACTGCTTCTTTAGAAGAATTAGATCCCTTAAAATAGAAAACTAATAGACATGTAATAATAATAAGTTAAATTGCAAAAAGGAGGGAGATAACTTTTTTTTTAGGTAAAGAAATGTAATATATTAATATTATTTTATAAATTATAATATATATAATCTGGGCAGGGCCAAATGGGCAGGACAGCATGTCCTGCCCGATGCCCAGCCCTGCCCATGAAATGCCCAGCCCAAAGATGCCCATTCTTTTTCGGGCTCTTTTTTTTCGGGCTGGGCTGGGCAATTTTTCTTCGGGCTCGGGCGGGCTTTGCGGGCATTTGGGCTTCATGCACACCCTTAGAAATAGCAATCTCAGGGAACAGATAATAGGCGAGCAAGAAACATAAGATTGTGATACAACTTCTGTTCGGTGATCATTAATATTAAATATATTAAGTAATAGGTAAAATTAAATTTTAAATACTACCTCCGGTCCTTAATATAAGACCCTAATTTACTTTGTCTCTCATATTTATACATTTTTTTTTCCAAAGTAACTCTTCTAACAATTATAGTTCTAGTCAATACACTTGATTAGCAATGATATTTTAGGAAAGACAACACTTATTTAGGACAAATAACTAATTCAACTTACTTCTTTAATCTCCTCAAATTAGTCAACTAGCTCTTATAATTAGGATCGGAGGTAGTAATAAATTTAAATTTGTATTAATTCGTTGCAGAAAATAGCACGTGGCTTTGTCGTCCAATATTTTATTATCTTTTTTATGAGTATCATGATAAACGAGGGTCCTTAGTCTATTTACTCCCGCAAACATTTTAGGCGTGACAGAATAATCTCACAAAAATACGTTTGAAATTAATAAATTTTAAATAAATTTTTTTTAATAAAAATGTATTGTTATTTGTGAATCTACTACTGTCAAAATCTATAAATGTGTTGTTACCAAACCTGATTTTAAATTTAATAATTTCAAGCTCTTTTTCATGAAATTTTCCCTGAAATATAATAATTAATAATTAATTAGTGGTTAAAAATAATTAATTCCAAGAATTTTATTTATTTATCTATTTGTGAACTTCTTTTGCAAGAAAAATGTTTAGGAAAAATCACAAAAACAATCTTGGAAATACAAAAATTATAAATAGAGACCCATTACAATATTAGTATGGGTTTAGATAATAATTAATAACTAAATGACAACAAATTTTGTGAATGGATTCTTATATACAATTTTTTAATTTTTAAGGTTTTTTTTTACGATTTTTTCAAATGTTTAACAATTTTGGACTAAATGTTAAAAATTAAAACAATCTTTTTTCAGCTAAAATTAAAATCATCTAACACAAAGTTAATTAAAGAAAACAAACATTTTTCAGATTTAATTTCCTCACGGTGCGTTATCCTGCAAGGCTGTCGGGAAAACTTTGGAATTTCATTCTCTTTTGGAATGGATTTCGAACGTAAATTTAAACACTTATAGCGGAAAAGAATTTCATTGAGAGGACTGATAAAATTCAAATTTAACTTAATAAAATATTCAGTTGTATGGGGAAAAAAAAATAGAATGGGTGAATTTGCCTCCAATTTATTAGTCTGTCTTGTGTGGCCATAGGCGTGAATTTGAAACTAAAGGAGGTCAAATGAGTCAAATCATTCAATCTGCAAATCATGATGAGTTGACTTGTTTAATGGATTACCATAATCATTTAAATAAGGATTGCTCACTCTAATTTTATTATAAACAGCTAATAACATAATACCCCATCTCTTATTATGATATCTAATTTTTTAAATTGATTTGTCTCTTTTTATAAAAATTTTTTAGATATGTCTAAACAATAAATCTATTTTTATCCGCTTTACCTTTAATTGATACACTCCCTCTTATTATTTTTTCTCTCATACATTCTCTCCTGTATTTTTCTCCAATCACACCTACCCACTTATAAATGAGGACAAATTTGTCAAAAAAAGAGAGAAAGAAAGTATTTTTTTTACATATTTATTACTTTTAACTAATTTTAATAGTTTTTTTAACCACACAATATGGTTATCTGGATTTTATAATAAGAGATGGAGCTAATACAAGTTTACACAGTTAATAAAGTTAGTTAAAATTAGTTACTTTTTTGTAAAATAAAAAAATTACTCTTCCTTTTATCATTAATACAATAACTATTTAACTAATTTGAGAAGTTCAAAAAAGTTAGATAAATTAATTAATTATAAACTTGATATATATCTAGTATTCTTATGCAGTAATAAATTATTTATCAGTTTATAAATTAGACAAATTAGTTTGAAGAAAACTGATAAATATAAAAAATAAAGTGAATTTAAAAATAAGATTAAATGAATCTCACTCTCAAATTAGATTCTCTCCATTCTTTTTATAAGAGACAATTAAGCAAATTGCATTATTCAAAATGTTAGTTAAAATTAGTTGAAGAAATTAGTAAAAAATGTAAATTTTTTTGCGAAAAATATCATCATTTATGGGGAAGAAAGATAATGTGTGGAGGAGAGAATATATGAGAATTAAATGTAATAATAATATAAGTAATTAAATAGAGGTAAAATGAAAAGTCAACAA